TCAGAAGGTAAATTAATTCAAAAAGCTCAAACAAACATTCTAGTTGATACACAAACAAGCACTTGTTTTCCTAAAAAGCATCATTGGAGAAATTTCATGCTGTGTCTGTTGGACCACTTAGTTATTAACTATTATATGCCTGTAAATCTAGAAACCATTTACCCAGTGCTCCCAATTGTCAAACATGTCAATTTTTTTTTTTAGCTTTGACCCAGTACACAAGCGGATTCGGCCTTGGTAAACCTACGTCCAGAGGCAAAGAGAGGAGCCAATTCACTACAGTGATCAATATATGAGGCAAAGTCTCAGCTAAAACCTCAATACAACCAAAATGAGCCTTTCATCAAATCTCTAAACTCTGAAGCCAATATGCAGAAATTGAACATTTTGATCAAGTCAAAATCCAGTTTAATTGAACTTGCACATTAATTGTACATTCATGAAACAAGAGTAGCACTGAGTTTGCAAAGATACTAAAGTTTACAAAGCTTACCTGTCGATAAAGCGTGAAGATTGCAAGTTCCCAGAATGGGTCCTGGATTGAATTCCCAAATGTTTATCAGATGATCAAAAAGGTTACTCTCTGATGCAGTTGTCTGGAAATAAAATAGGAAAGATAAGTACATTAACACAAATACCAGTAACAATACAACCTCATTATTGAAAAACATATGAAGGCCCATTAGAAGGAACAATTATACTGCACATGCCCCCGTCTCATTGAGAAATTATGATTAACATGAAAAACGGTGCAATACTTGGTTTTTGAACTCATAAAGGATAATAAAAAGTAGCCTCCCATAAACAATCTTGTCATTGCCTACTAAATGGTTTAACTGAGTACAATACCAACAGCACCACATTATGTTAGAAACTTACTACATGTAATCAGTTCTTAGATAGTGATATTAATGCTGCTTGTGCCATGTCTCCCAACTAAAATGTCAAAAGTAACTCAACCGATATGAGAATCTCTAAATCCTATATCACTTGTTTCAACAAGAGAATCTATCTAAGGGATATTCATTAACTTCAAAACCCAAAAAGGAATTGAGAGAAAAACTACTAGTTAGACTACATCCAAACGTTTGGAGCAAGGATGAAATTGGGAGAGACAAAATCAACAATGACACTATACCGAGATTGTTTCCATACAACTCGTCTAGTTTCCTAGAATGAGAAACCAAAATAGAAAATATTGACAAAGGCAGTCTAGTTACGAGACTCCCGTCACTATGAGGTCTAGGGGGAATTAAATGTACACAACCCTATTCCGAATACTGTGAGGGTTGTATTCGTGACTTGAACAAGCGACCCATTAATAATTAATGCCAATGAAGGTGTTTGATTGAATTTCTCTTAGAAACCAACCGTCCAACCACCTTCGAAGTCGACGAAAACCAAGACATTGCAAAATTGTTTTCTTGGGAACATTCACTGACAATTGAAAGCACTATCAAACTCCGTCAAAGACTGCTGGAGCCTAATAAGCGTGAGATTGTTAAATTGTCGAAAAGTAAGAAAAAAATTATGATGAAATTGGAATTCAGAAACTGAATTAAGGACAGAGTGTGATGAAGAATCGAAACCTTTGTGATTGATTGTCTAAAGAAATAAAGGACTCAAAGAGCTGTCAACGTTAATTCAAGCGAAAACAAAATTAGATTGGACGTATCAACCTGAACATACTGATTCAGACACGAGGGTTCGCTCGACCTTTTGGGTGCTTACGCTAACATTTTGGATTAATTGCAAATTACACTACAATGCAAAAGATAATTCGAATATCAATTTTCACTCTCAAAAGAGCAAAATTCTCAATTTATACCTTTAAAGATAAAAATTTATATCAATATGTACTCTCAAATATCAAAAATTTGAATTTGCATCCTCAAAAATAAAAATTTATATCAATATGTACTTAAAACTAACTGTCGTCAATTTGTTGCCTGAAACTAAATTGACAAATTATACTTAGATCTCCTCATACTTGTCACTTAATCATTTAAACCCCTTCACAAATATAAGAGTAATATGAAATTATAATTTTTTATTAGGATAAAATTATATTTTTTAACGGTTATAAAATCCTAATAAAAATATTCTCAATCTAAAATGTCCCCCAATTGGGCATTCAAATAATTATGTTTAAGTGATATATTGCATTGGATACAAAAAAAATATAATATAAATACTTACATTCTATTAAATATTCAAATTGTAAGCTTGATTTTGAATTTTAGAGTATATTGGACCCACAAAATAAAGGATAATATGAAATTATAATTTTTTATTAGAATAAATTATATTTTTTAACGGTTATATTAACAGATATCACCTAAAAAGGATTACGTGTTACACGTGCACAAACATCATGAGATATAGGAGTAATATTATAAATATGAAGAGATCAAAATGATTAAGTGATAAGCATGAGGGGATCTAAGTATAATTTATCAATTTAATTTTAGGTAGCAAACTGACGGCGAGTAATTTTAGGTGCACATTGATATAAAATTCTATATTTGAGGGTGCAAATTGAGTTTTTTGATATTTGAGGGTGCACACTGATACAAATTTCTATCTTTGAGAGTGCAAATTGAGATTTTTGATTTTTAAGGGTACACATTGATATAAATTTCTATTTGAAGGTACAAATTAAAATTTTTTATCTTTGAGAGTACAAATTAAAATTCGAACAATCTTTCAGCATGCAATTTACAATTAACCCTAACATTTTTCACTAATAATTTTAGGAAAATGGCACTTTGCACCTCTAAAAAGTATTTATATTCTCAAATTGTACACTAAAAGATTGAGTTTCTCACATTATACCCTCAAATTAAAAGGTAACAATATATTTTATTTTAAGAAAATTTAGTACAAATTTTTTATGTAAAACACTTAAAATTTAATAATAAGCAAATAATTGTGTACAGAATATTGGATTGTTAATCAAGCTGGTCTTTGTAAATGTTAAAACTTATTTTCAAACTTGATTTCTTTAGAAAATAAGTTATATTCGAACTCGAACCAAGTTCAAACCGAGCTTGAGTAGCTTGACTATTTTACATTTAAACGATCTGAATTTTTTTTTAGGCTCATTTTTTTAAACGAGTCTGAAAAAATATTCAAACTAAACTCATTAGAGCACGAGTCGAACTGGAGTTGAGTCCAAATAACTCATCTCAATTAACATCATTAATATAATACAATAAAAAAATTATCAAAAAGAACAAAAAATAAATAAATTTTGCCCTACATTGTTAACTTTTTGGCTGATTGAGGGTAGAATCTATAAATTATAATATTTCAAAGTATAAATTGAGAATTTAAGAATTTTTATGCTCCGTTTGGTAGCAATAATAAAAAATATGAAGAATGAAAAGTATAAATGATACATTATTCTTCCTTTGTGTTTGGTTAGATGGATGGAAAATAAAAATAACTAATTTTTTTTATTCTTTTTTGTGCTGATTATGATTAAGGATGATAATCAAGTCGTGCAGTGTCAGATTCGTATTGAGTCATAAATTTATAAATTTTTTATATTTCTTGTTCACACGTCAAGTCCTTTTCAAGTTCGTGTCATAACATTTGTGTCGACTTCCGAGTCATATCATCGTGTTAAGTCAAAAATTTTTACTCCTAGCTAAAATGAAAAAAATATTTTTATAATTTAAATTTTTTATTTTTATTTATTTATTTATTTTAATGATATACATATTTTATCATTGTATTTTTATATAAAATTAATATATACATAATATATAGACAAATAAAATATATCTCAAAATAAATAATTAATTTTTTATCCACTTTCCTTCCGATTTTAGAGGTATTAATTTTGATGAGTTGAAAAAAAAATAAATTCATCAACTTTTCCATCCTTTTTATTTTCCTTCCTTACCAAACATAATATTTTATTTATTCTTCTAACTTTTCCTCCTTCCATTTTTTTATCATACCCAACAGAACATTAGTGTTGTCATCCATACTCTCAATTTGTTGTCTTTCACTTCTATAGTACTTTTCTTCGAAAATTTTCTACGAAAGACGAATTCAAAACAATAAACAAACAAAACGAACAGAGGCCTAACAATATACCTTTAACATCTACACCTCCTCCAAAAAGCTAGTACATTGTGCCTTTCATTTCCAAGAGCAATTGGCCACTTACTTTCCTTTCTCTTCTGGGTTTAGTTTCTAAAATCTCCACTTCATCTCCACGTGTGATCGAGGCATACAGTGACCAAATAGCCCACGACTTAATATTCTCTCGTCTAATATTGCCTTGACCGAGCTCTTCATCAAATACAATGTGCACATAAAACGCAGCTTATGCAGCCTAGAACCAACAAAACACATGCACTCACCAATTGCCAGACCACAAGCAGCAGCTCAATTTGTGACCAAGGCACCTGAGGTATTTTCAGAAGTCATAGATTCCAGTTTACAGTTTGGTGATCTAGTTAAAATTACCAGACACTAAAAATCAGTGTTTACCACAAAAAATGTACAGCCTGCATGTTACCTGTCCACCAAATCACAAATTCAACATACACAATTGGCAATTCCATTGCCAGTAGCTTGTCATAAAGGAGAAGAGAAATCTACTAGTCAACCACCACAGCTTCGATTACAAACTTTATTGAAGCCCTGAAGCACAAGCCGATGTGATTTGAGAAATAGCCTCCTCATGCTTTGAAGCAAATACATCTACTCTTGCTAATCCATTTGCAGGTTCAGTAGACAGCAGCATAATCTTCAATCTTGTTATACTTATTTCAGAAATCCTACATATGATCAAATCCCCCCCCCCCCCCTCTCTTTTCCCCCCTTTTCCCACTCTCTCTCGCATGAGTTTTAACATTTTAAAATCACAGAAATAAATATATTAATATGCCTCAAACATCTCTCTCCATTACTTCCCAGTTTAGGAATATAATGCAGTTCAACTCCAATCACAGTAGTTGCCAACATTACTTTCAAGTCGCCAATCACCACAACAAGAAGGCACTACTTTTTTGGGGAAACACAATTCCCCCCAACATCCTCTGATTCAGGAAACTTACCAAAGGAACAACCTGAGAGAGCAATTGAGAGATAAACTGGTGACCATAGAACATAATACACATCACATAATCCACGGATGCTAATTAGTGATATCTAGACATTACTTGATCATTGCTCGAAGAAGCAACTACTGTAGCTTTCATCCTTTTGGCGATGGACATCACACTTGAGTTCTCTTTCTCAGCATCAGCATTGACGAAGTTTTGATCTGACACCTCTGCAAGTCCCAGAAAAGCATATTATGAAGCAACCAAACAAAAAATAAGTACAAAAATATGCCAGCACTTTGCCATTCTTACAGTATACTAATCGTGAAAACGCATTATGAAAAAATATAAGAAACTGTTGCTAGCATGCAAAGGAAGATGAATATTTCACAGGTAACAAAAAAAAGAAACAGCTGGGATCTACCTGCACTGCTTCCAATTGAATCATGGCCACATAAATGAGATTGAGACCCAGGAAACCGATTTGAAGCAGTAGCTAATGCAGGTTTTTTTCGGGAAGCAGATGTTTTAACCATGGGTCTGCATCCAGACCTAAAATGCCGAATCCATGGATTCGCTAAAAGAACACCAGGCCCATCTGCCTTGTTTAACTGAGATTCATCTCTTCTGAAATTGATCTTTGCCCAACAGCCATCTTGAAGAACCTTATACTGTCGCAGACAACAAAAATGATAGTGATAATAAAGTCTAAAAGAGTATAGATTACTGTCAGGAAGGCAGCAAACTAAACAGAATGAAAAACTTTCAGACCTGGCCAGAAGGGACACAGTTACTGGCATGCATTTGCCTGGAGGATTGGGGATCCAATGAGCTGTTTCTTTGCGGGCTCCAACGAAGTAAACCAAAAGAACTGTACAACTGGTCAACAAACGAAGCTTCCATAGATTTGAGATACAAACTATGCTTCTCATCTGTCCATTCAGTAGGCGTTGATTCTCTCGCCTGAGATTCCTGAGATTAATGTATCTCAATGAAAAACAGGAATCTTCTTCAAAAAGAAGTTTCATATTTAGAATAGCCAAGGAGAAACATATCGATATGCATATGTGGTTGGCATCGTAAGCATCAATGTCAAAGATAATAGTGACATCAAGAAAGTAGTCATCAGCACATGGAATTGATTCACCGCCAAAAAATAAATAAACAGATAAATCGCCCACGTTTGCAAGGTTGTTAGCAGTCTAGCAAATAATTCACCACATTTGCAAGGTTGCCAGCGTTCTAACTGTTTCTGCATGTATTGAAATCTTTTCATTGTACCTTAATTACTTCAAACTCACATCCATTCCAGAAAACAAGGGCACAAACAATCAGAACTGCAAAACAAAACAAAACAAAACAAACAACGACAAAACAGAAGCTGAGAAAAAAGGAAATAAAATTCTTTGTCTTGAGATGTGCACTGGTTTCTCCCATCTTCGCACACAATACACACACACACACAGAGCAACTGAACCACTCTGTGGTTTAAATTTGTCATTTCCGAACCTTATCATCCCAAACAACTGGTAAATCTCAATGCCACAAAAATGATGAGCTGGACAAAAGTAGAACTAAGCTTCTTGTCTATTGTATTTAATCTGTAGTTTCTGGATAGGTAACTATTGTTGACTGTAGTAACTTTCTACAAAATACACCCTCCAAAAAAAATAAAAACTAGACCACTTCAAAATTAATGCCTTTCTTCGTCCCCTCGCCCCTCCCCCCCCCCCCCCCCAAAAAAAAAAAAAAACTCTCATTCCTTTCTCTCTTCCCCCCTTCCAACGATGCTTCTTAATTATTTGTTCATGTAAGTATGGGAGTTCTTTCTTCACCAACATAAGGAAAATATATTGATTCCACATACATAAATAAGGTTTGATTCGTCTATCCAAATTGCTTACGGCGAAAACTAAGAAAAAGGAGAAATTAATAAATAAATAAATAAAGGGCATCATGTGAGCCCCATTCAGGCACTTCCTCCTCTTTTCTGGCAAGCTATCCGCAAGAACCAAGCAAAGAACTTCGAATTATCAACTTGAACAAATACATTCAAAAAAGATTAAAATAATTTCCCCAGATCATCCGTGAACATAACAAAATTAACAAAAATAATGACAAGATTTTAAAAAGCCCTATGCCAAACAAATTTAACAAAACCTATAATCATATCCACACGCACAAACACATATATACACATAATTACATACACAACTTCAAATCCAGATGCTGCTTGACTAAGAAAGAAGATGATAAATTATCCATACCCCCAGATTCGACGTCTCTTCCTGTTCATCAAAACGGCTTGAATCACCATCGCTGGTCAGCGTCAGCGTCAGCTCCGACGCCATCAAGCCCGTTCGATCCAAAATCCTATGTGGTGGATCAGCACCTTCCATATCTAATGGTGAAATAGTTCCTAAATTTACACAAACTCTCTTCGTTTTCGCTGGATTTAGCGGAGAAAACCCTCACAGATTTGATTTGGCGGCCAAGTTAGAAGGAAGAGAGAGAGAGAGAGAGAGGTGGGGACAAAAGAGAAAGTGCCAGTTTTCAGAGCTTTTACACGTGGCATAGCACTTGATGAACCACGTCAGCGATAAGTTCGTGAGGAGTGACATGACAAGGACGGGCGAGGTCAGATATTTTTTGGGTGTTGTCCTAAAATATCAACGCTTTTTTATGGTGTAATAATGAAAAAATAAAATATCTTTTTCGTCCTTGCGTCTGCGTGTCGATGCACTTTTAACCGTACAAATAAAAAAATTAATTATATTAGAAATCCCTAAAGTATAAAATTTATCTTATTTTGGCTTTTAATATTTCAATTCTATCATTTTAGTCTTGAAATATTGAATATATTTTTATGTGATCCCTCAACCAGACAGAATCTAGATTACTAATGATTTTTTATTATAAACTTATCATTTAATATCTAAATATTGATAAAAAAATAATAATTTGGATAACTTTTTTAATCAAGAGTTATCTAAATTATTTTTTGTCCATATTTAAGTATCACATGACAAGTTTATAATAAAAAATCGTTGATAATTTTGATGTTGTCTGCTTAAGGGACCACATAAAAATATATTTAATATTTTTTAGGGATTAAAATGATACAATTCAAATATTATGGATTAAAAATAAGATAAATTTTATATTTTAAAGACCTCCATTACAATTAATCCTAAAAAAAATATAAAAAATTGACTGTGTATGCGTTCTATTGTCTTTTTCTATGCGTGAAGTGACAAAAACTATGTGCTGCCAGCGCCGGCCCTAACAGTATGGAAAATAGAAGCAATAATTTTTGGTCTCAAATTTTTTGAAAGCTCTAGAATTTTAGGTACATCACAAACTCATAAAAAAAAATTAAATATATTAAATTTTAAATCCTACAAAAAAATTAAATTTAATTAAAATTTTTATTATAATAATTTGGACATAATCCAATCCATAACATTAAAAATTTAGAAATTAAAAAAATACTCAAAAGTCAACTCGTATTTACTTTCACCCACTCTCTCTCCCCCCGTAAACAAAAATAAATAAAAATAAAAGTTGAAATTAACACTCTCTCCCTTTCTGTGGTAAAAAAATAAAAATAGAAGCTGAAATCTCTTTTTTAACAATATTAATACATTCTTCTTTTTCTTTTGTCTAACTCTCACATAAAAAATTAAAAATAAATTAATTTTTTAAAAAAAATAATGCTAAAAATAAAAAAAAGTCTCTATTTAATGTTTTCACTTAGCTTGAGTCTCCTCTGAGTGCTGCTTTATCGTTTTCGGATTTTAGTTGAAACATGAATGGAGGTTTGTGGTTTGCTTAATTAATTAATTTATTTTTATTGGTGGGGGGGGGGGGGGGGGGGGGAGGGTTGTGTTAATTTATGTATAATTTGATTAATCGTTTTTTCAGTTTGATCAAAAGTAGATCATTCGTGTCAAAATTAGAATGGTCAAAAGGAATAAATCTTTCATGACCTGATCCAAAGAATTATCAAAATTTAGATTTAAGACGATTAAATTTGTAATTTGTCTTTGTCACCACTTGAACTACCTTTTAGAATGAATTATCACTCTTCCACCATTGAACTTAAAGTCGTAAATTCAAATATCGTCATCCCTCTTTTTAACAGTGGTATTTGACTAAAAAAATAAAATTAAGTATGAATGAATCTAATTTGTTAGTTTAATTTTTTATTGGTTTTCAAAAGAAAAGAAAAGAAACAAGCATGAGAATGTCATCAAAACAGCTCTCTTTATATGTAATTATGAGGTGAAGCCTTGCGAAAGAAAAGCATAAGCTTCAAAGTTTATATTATATTGAAAGAATGAATAGAAAATATGAAAATGTTTGGAAAATAGCTCAAAAAATTTAATAATTCAATAGTATACACAAAAATGTATGAACTTCGCCCAAAAACCCAACTTCTTTCAAACAATGGCATTTTGTCTAATGACCACTGTGACCTTAAAGTCCCTAATAGCCACTGCTCCCATCATTGGATTTTAAAGTCATGAGTTCAAACTTTGTCGCCCCTCCTTATAAAAATGTCTGACCAAAAAAAGCCTACGATGGACAGAAAAGAAAAGTAAGAGGAAATGTTTCTAACAGTTTCAATAACAAATTTTCAGAAGATCACAATCAAAGAAATATAAGTACAAGAGATTTGCAAGAAGAAGATTGTAGCCAAAGCAAACAAAATTCCATGTACATCAAAGATGTTACTGACAGAATTAGTACTTCTACTAATATTGGATATTTGGGAGAAAAAAAATTTGTGTTTTTTGTTGTCGAACTGTTTATTGCTAGAAAACATGTTTTCGTAACATCATACTATGAATCGAAAACACTTCTGTCTGTACATTACCATTTATACATCGCAAAATTGGAATGGGGAAAAAGTAGTGCTCAAAATTTGTATAAACTCTGTAACTGACCATTCTTCTCCGTTTTTATACCGCAATTTCAACCAGGTGTAGACTGTAGACTCATTGCATTTGCAGATAACACATGTAGAAAGACAGTGAGATAGTGGCTCTGGTAGAAAGGCCAAAGAAAGCGGTTGAAAACTCAAGTTTTCTGCTTCTGGCCATCCTCTGTGTCTTGGAGGTCTATATTGCCTGCAATAGGAGGAAAACGAGTAGAATATTAAGTATCTGGCAGTACACCCCCCCCCCCCCCCCCCCAACAAAAAAAAAAACAACAAAAAAAAGAGTATTTGGCAGGTTACAATTAGTAAAATATGAATCCATTATGGCGAAATTCCTTCAATTAAAAACAGTTCACATGGAACAGAAGTGAAGCCTTAAAAAATCCACCCTTGATTTCAATAATGTTTGCAGGCAGAAAAGTTTGGCCTCCAATAAATCCTTCAAACTGGAAATTGGCAAAAGAAAGGAAAAGAACCAAAGACCGTGAACCTAACAACAGCAGTGCTTGTAACTTTTAATTCAACCATATTTATTGATGATTTGGAGAAATTTCAACAGAACTTTAACAAACAACTTTGACGTGCAAATTGGAGACAAGCCAATTCTTTTTCAACATGGTGCACCTATGTTATTCCTAGACCACCTGTTCCATGTTAATCTAAAAGAAGTGGTAATTCAGAATTGGATACTGGTCTATCACCCAAAATTTTCCATGCAGAGGGAAGTTGCAGCCCATAACTCAAGTGATTGAGGAAAGCTGATTAAAAAAAAAATGCACAAAAGAGCACAAGCCAGCCCTCTGCAAGAGTTCAAAAGAATTGAGCACTTCTCAGGATCGTAAAACTAACGAAACAAAGCCAAAAACCAAAAAAGACTCATGTCAGCTTCTGTGAAATAGTGTGTGATTATTCCATTGTATTTGCTCTCCAAAAACCTCCCATGAATCCTCTCCCCAATCCATACTTTACAATTACTACATGAAGCTGTTAGTCAACAAGATATATTTTCATCGTTCAATTTCAAAGACATAAATATAAACAAGTAGAGCAACTTGTATGATAAATAAGGATACCATACCAAACAAGGATACCAGAGATGTGGGTTTCGAGGATCCATTTGATTTCATGTCCATACCTGCATGACAAACACTAGAGCCTTAGATGACGAGTATATCTCGGAGTACATAGTAAGATGATCACTTTGAACAAAGGAGAGGCTTGGTTTATACATTATCATCTGCATTCAATTATAAGGACAAAGTACATGTACGCCACAATTTGGTTTGATTTTCAATGGAACAATTTTACGTAGTTCTCAATTGTTTCCAGTTGACAAATAACTAAATGTGTCAACTAAATCCAAGGATTGCATGCTTCAAAAAGGATCTGATGTAGAAGATTGCTGTCTTCTTTAAAAATTGCCTTTTTTAACCTGAGCCTGCAGTGGATTGAATCAGGATCCCTAGGAGAGTTTTTATTTTATTTTTACTGGGATCCCTAGGAGAGTTCACATTCACTAGAAAAATCAGTTCCAACCTTCTTCACATTTACTATAGAACATACTGCATGAATCTGCCATAAACTGGAACCATTAATGGGTTTAGGGATTCAACAAAGTACATATATTTACTCAGAAGGAAGGATAAACTTATCAAGCAAAGTTGGCATTGAGGGTCAATTTATCAAAGATGAAATAAATAATATCAGATAAAATGCTATTCCAAAATATTTTGGGATGGCCACAAAAGTTACTCAGAATTACACAGCAAGAGGTAAGACTGGTGATGCCCTTAAAGAATTTCCTCCTATCTAGGCATACCTTGATATCCTTCCACCCTATGAAATCACCGCCTGCCTACATTCCTCAAAACTTTTGCTGCACACCCACACTCTTCTTATTCACACACCCATTTCAATCATTTATGCTTTGCACTAATTACTATTGTAATAAGTGTTTATTTATAGTATCTTTCACATTTTCAGTAAAAAATTGAATAATAAATCGAGATGTTTGAACATGGAATAATAAATGAAAACAAGATGCTGCAGAAACAATTAGATTTTAAAGTAGCAGCCCACCTGAAGCTCCAACTGATTTGAGGATATCGGATTTCGTGAAAGTATATCCTATGAAGTTGGCATCTTTTGATGTCAACATCTGCCACATAAACATACCAGACATATTTTGATTCAATTACAACAACTCCAGCCGAAAAAGCTACACAAGAAAATAAACTAACTCGAAAGTATCAAATATTGTTCCCCTTCATGGTACAATTAAGCAAAATGACAATGATACACAAATAAATTTTTCTGAGAATGTGCAATACTTGATTTTGATAGGGTCTACATTTTAAAATTATGTCACCAAGTCTCAATAAGCTCAGCTCCATAAAGCTCTATCTAAACAACGGTTTTTATACACCAAGATAGATATCCAAACTACTTGGATACAACAATGTATTGCTCTGTCACAGTTGAGGCATAAACAACCATGTTTTCATATACAGACTTAATCACCAGCCTTTATGGCCTCCTATTCCTTCACAAAGTTCTCCACCTGGAGCCCTATCAGTCTTCTCTTTAAACCATTAAACATGCAAAAAAATTCGCAGGTATCGTAGAAACCAAGTTTTCCAACAGTAATGCCAAATTTTCTTCACATAAAAAGTCTACAGTTTATGCCCTCCAATTTGCAGTTTAAATTGCAATAGCACAAAATTCTTCTGTAGAATAAGAACAGTTTCATGAATATCAAGAAATCACAATCCAGCTGGGAATCCCTTAGAAAAGGACATCAAAATGCACATGCCTGAATATACAAACTAGAGAATATAGATTTTATGTCAAGTACAATGCCAACAGAATACGAACTCCACTTCACATATTCAGATCCAATTATGTCATGTAATTTCAATAACTACAGAAAACATGAAGCCATTACCTTTCGCCAGGGCCCCACTCTTGGTGCTGTGGATGGTGGATCTTCAACCTGTCAAAGAAAAAACGTGAGCACTGTACAAGATAAATTCATTCAAACAACGCAGGGTAAAATCTATGAAATAGTAAAATATTTTGTGCTTGATACGATGTGGAAAACTTTTCATGCCAAAGTTTCAATTTTCAATTAAATTTCACAGTTGACATGGACAAGAGGCAAACCTGAAGTTAACAAGGCAAAATCTATGGGTAATAGGAAGAAATAGGTGACAGGGACTAATACGAGAGAAATGGCTGAAACTGTTTGGTTGCACCCAAACTCTCCATATTTGGAGCACCTAAAAGGGGAAGTAAAAGACCAGGAAAGGATGGGGCCTAGTCACAACAAAAAGAGCATGATGGAATATGAAATGAGATACATATAGAGCTGAATACAACAGAATTGATCATTGTCAAAATCTTGCTTCCAAACATGGAAAAAGTAATCCATCTTGCTTCCAAACATGGAAAAGGTAATCCATCTATAGTCGATGAACTCACTTCAGCAAACTTCTCGAAATTCTGAGTGTCCAAGTCTCCATTAACAGTGGGTTTGTAAGCGGCTTCCATTTCATACAGCATGTCCCATTTAATGCTTCTAAACCATGGATGTGCCTGAAGATACATTAACGAGTTAAACCAGAATACCAATTGCCTCAACTTCATAAGGAAATACGTCTTGAATGCATGATTCATTACTTTAAAAACCAGGATATTCTTTATAATTAAAGTCCAGGACATAATTCCATTGATCTCCATAAGCAAAAGAACAATTATTCTAGACAAGTGGAGTGAGGAATAAACTCGTTACTTCAAGTATATTACCTTTATGTCTTCAACTCCTTTGGTCCCCAACCTTTTTTCAACATCACATAACAAATGACAGATCAGATCCTTCGCCTCATCTGATATTTTTGGTTCCTCAGGGAATTTCAAGAATGTTTTCCAGTTGATTATCTGATACAAAAATTAAGATCATATATCTGGCAAAGATGAGGGATATTGTTCAAGAACTAGAGGAATTGTTTAGTACTAGGGTAAAAAAGAATCTTCAATTTTCAATTTCAAATTGAAAACAGAATCAATTTTAAGCCATTTACTTCAATAGTTCCGAAGAAGGCCCATTTTCAGGATAATTGTTGTGAACAATTACATAAGTACTCTGTCAAACCAATTTTTGACATCATTCTTATGTTTCCATTTCTGAAAAGCAAAGTCCTCATATCTACCAAAAAATATGCCTAGAACTAAAAGTACAGGAATACCTTACGGCATGTCATTCTAGGATCATCAGAACAAAAGGGAGGATAGCCTATGAGCATCTCAAACATGATTGCCCCCAATGACCACCAATCACACTCTACTCCATATCCTTTTTTCAACAACACCTCAGGTGCCATATAATCAAGTGTTCCAACTGTAGAATATGCCTGCAAAACATAACTGTACATTGATGACTCACAACAGCAAGCATGAATACCAAAAATTTAAGAACTGAAAGAATGAAACAAATGGGGAATGAGGAAAGAATACCAAGGCACGGCGGTTACGTTTCCATTGTTGTAATTGTTCCTTTGGCATCAACCAAGGAGATCTATCGCAGCTAGAATGCCCTTCACTGTCACTTATGGGTTCCTGTGTTGTAAAATCTTCCTCTTCCAAGAGTATTGATGTATATTTATTATCCAGGGGCTTACACAAGCCAAAATCAGAAAGTTTTAGATGGCCATTTTTGTCCAGTATCAGGTTATCTGGTTTTATATCCCTGAACCAAGAATAACTTTAGAGTAAACTTTATATTTCATTGTATGAACATATGTAAACATACGTCCACTAGAGAATGCATGCATACACCAGAATTACAACTAAAACTTGATTCCAACACTCTTAACATAATGCAGAAGCAAATTATATCTACACCTGCTTGATCTTAACTATTAAGGACAAGATAGAGGTAGAATGATTCTGTGGTGGGCAGTCTAAGTAGGAGAACGGGACAAGTATGTAAACTGATAAAAGAACAAGGGAACGAAAGCAATATCAATCATGGTGGAAAAATTACCACTATGCTACGATATCAAGATAGCCTCTTACAAAGAAGGAAAGGACAGATTACATGGAAAGCTACATTTCATCTCAACTGTCATATCAAAGCTGAGAGGGAAGCAATTTGCTTAGCAGGGCGCAAACGCCTGGCAAAGGCAAATCTAGCAATACATTCAGTATCTAAAGTGACCTCGTGCCAAGACAAACCAAAATGGCTATGCCAGAAATTGTCATGTAGGACAAGCAGCAGTTCGAGCCCATGCCTACTTTCAAAACTGGCCTCCAGGAAAAGTTCAGCTAGAATTACCGCTAGCATTCAAAGCTGTATTTCATAGAGACAACCAAGCATGGATGGACTGACTATCTTAAGCTACAAATTAACAACGAGAAATAGACAAAAGTACAAGCTAATTAGATCAAAATGGACTGTTGCCAAAACTGTTTTGATTGCCTTCACAGCCATATGAAGCACTGGTTGTTTGCATGTTTCTGCTCAAACAGTATGAAATCATCCGAACACCATTATGCAAAGCATAAACATATCATTCATCATTATGATACCTATGTACATAGTTGTGCTGGTGAATTGAATGAATAGCAAGAATACTTTCTGCTATGTAGAATCGTGCAATATCTTCAGAAAGGACATCCTCCCTCATCAATAAGGTCATAATGTCACCGCCAGGTAAATACTCCATGATAAGGTATAAGCAATCAGAATCCTGGAAAGAATAGAAGAGTTTCACTATGCACCGACTATCAACCTCCACAAGCAAATTCCTCTCAGATCGGACATGCTCAACCTAAGAATAAAGTAAACCAATCAATACGTATCAGGAGCAAAAAGTACATTCAAGTTAACCACATAAATTAAATGATCATCTAGATCAATTCTCAAAGCAAATTTAAAACTTCTATAATAGCTCAGAAAAAGGTTTAAAAACATTAAAAAAAAGCTTCCACATTTATAGACTTCCATCAATACAAAAACAAACATGCGTGAAGGTCTATTATCATTTTGCTGGTCATCACCTGTCCACGGCTAAGCATCTCTGATTTCTTTAATTTCTTCATGGCAAAAATTTCTCCTGTACTTTTCGCACGACAAAGCCTAACCTGCATTACTTACTAAGGTCATGAATGAAGTCATGTTATTGATCATACATATAATTTCATTTTTCTTGAAGCAAGTGGTTTTATTGAAAACTAAAATGAGAAAGGGTAGGATTCAAGCAAGCATATTTACTGCAGAAAAAGGCATGGAAAGAAAGATTTTGACAAAGTATATTGCTCTACACAAGAACAAATTATAACCAAGTGCTTTGATGTATCAGGCAGAGATAAGTTAGATTGATTCATCGGCCAAACTGATTCAAATTCCAGTATTGCTTTTTGGCGAAATATACTGGTGATCCCTGAACCTTAGACCCCTTTTTCATTTAAGGCCATAAACAATTTTATTTTTCTTAATTCTCCCCCCAACTTTGAACACTTTTCAAATGTTCCCGTTTGGTTAGCTTCTGCCTCATTTATTAACGAATGTGCCTCAATGAGAGGCATGAAACTGGTAAATGAGAAAATTTTCTCCTGCTATGATTGCACTGCTCCCTCTCTTTTTTCTCCCTCTCTCTTTGTGAAACAGTCCCTCATTAGTCCCTACATCCACCTCACTTCAACCCTACTGGGCTCCGACCTCTACCACAGTCCCCAACTATCAATAATCCCACCCACTGATCATCGATAATCACCCTGTAGTCACAGCAACACTACCATGACAACCACTGCCATATTAACAATCATTGTCACCAACAGTCTTAATGGATGTAACAATGGACTGCAAATCAAAGACATTAGTTTTGGACCCACTCACCAAATTAATTGGAATTTTTGAAGTTTTTCCCACCCCCAACAATTTCTGTTTCCTTGTCTCTATCTAGAAACATACACTTATGTATGCACGCGCACACAACCTGATTCACATCACACACACCCGATCTATCTCTCTCTCTCCCTCTCTTTTTTTTTGTGTGTGTGTGTGTATGACAGAATGGCATATACAAAAGAATTGGTCTGTTGTGGAACTTGTGGTTCTTGTTGTTGGTTTAACAACTGGGGGATGGGTGGAGGGGTGAGGGGGAAGATGGGTGGTTTTAAGGGGATGGTGGATTTCCAGTGGCAGGCAGATGGGTGGTACTGTGGTAGAGGAGGGGGGTTTGGATATGGTTGGTGTTGGGGAGGGTGGGATTGCATTGAGGTGTGGGGGTTGCAAATAGGTGGTGTAAGGGGGGAGGGGGGGTGTTTAAGGGGGAGACACTGGATAGCTGCTGTGGGACATTATTGGCGGAGTGTCTGTTGGTGGAGAGAGGAGAGTGCCATTGCATTAGTCTTGTAGCAAATTTCCCCATTAACCCCTCAGGCCTCTTACATTAGGCACTTCGGTTGATCAATGAGGCGGAATCAAACAAAAGGGCAACATAGGAACAATATTGAAAGTAATACATAAAATTGAGAAAAAGTTATTTTCCATTGTAATTCAAACAAGGGACTACATGCAGGAGCCGCAACGTAGTTACTCTTGAGTTTCTGAACTCAGTGATTCATGTTTTCAATAACAACTCACCAAATTAACAAAAAATTCTTAAAGAACCCAACCCTTATATTGACTTGGAACTTGCATCATCAATTTAATCAAGAAACTTTTTATGAAGATCCAAAACAGAAAGTCATAAGTTAAACTATGTCATTACTCCTTTCAGTAATGGGTATTCGCTACTACATTGCACCTCGGTCCTGAAGTAAATTGGCCAATCCGAAGCTGAAAATAGCAATGAAGAAAAAAAATTTAAACCACTATCGATATGCCTAAATGATAACTGTTGATATACCTCACCAAATGCGCCTTTGCCAATGACAGTCAATTGCTCAAAGTCATCAATTCCAACTTTATGCCTCTGCAATCTCATAAATTCCGTCTCTCTGCGTGCCAAATTCCTCAGCATCTCCTCCTGTTCCTCACTCGATACTTGCGCCTCTTGCGCCTTCCTTTGCACTGCTCGACGCCTAAATCCAAAAGCAAATCACCACAAAGAATCACACCCTTACATATCAACACAAATTTATACCAATGCACTACATATATGCGTATGAACATATATGTACCTTTCAATACGATCTTGCATGCCTTGGTAATAGTTCTTGTAATGATTCTCAATCAACTGCTTTGCAGCGGCGGCTTTCTGTCTGGTGACCGGCGACGAAACAGAGACGTCGGGCTCCAAATTCAATAACCGATCGGGCTTCATGTTCAGAGTCCCCAACCTCACGGTTCCATCACCTCCTTCCATTGTCGACGATCCCAAATCTGATATCAGATCCAGAAAAAAAAAAAAAAAACAATTCGCAGGGTCTCAATTCTAATACATATTGAATTGGAAAATGTGCGTTCGGATCCAGAAAGAACTCTTGAAAGTCATGAAATTTGGGGATTTCGAGGCAAATGAAGAAGTAGTGCACCTGATTTTAGAGCTGCGTTGTTGTTAGGAGTTCCAATGAGAGGTCAAAGGTGCTTTTGTAGTCGTGTGCGTCGGTGAAGGGAGAGAGGTAAAGAGAGGGGGTTTGGTAAGCAATGAACTGTCATTGAAACAGTAGTGAGCAGGAGAGGTTTGGGTGGAATGAGAGGGGTGTGATTTATTCGATTTGTTGTGAGGTTTCGGCTGGCAGTTTATGGGGAATGGAGTAAGACAGACGCCATCGTTTTGCTCGCTAACTGGAAGCTTCCAAGGAATTTATTTGATAAGCGACTTTTAGAGAGACAGACAGAGAGGGGCGGAGCCTATCGAGTCAGCGAGTCCATGGCGTCGGCGGTAAAACAATGCACAGGCTCTGGAGCGTGGATTTCACGCTTTACTTTGATATTTCTCGGATGAATTGCACTTTGTACCTCAAATAATTTAAGTATTATTATTTTATCCTCGGCAAGATTAAATTTTTTATAGGGTGAATTACATTTTATACCCCTAAATTTTTTAAGTACAATATGAAAAATTTAGTGGTTAAGAGTGTAAAATGAGAATCTTAAAATTTTTTAGAGTGCAAAATGCAAAAAATCTTTTTTTTATATTACATTCTTAGGTCACGTTTAGACGACGGTAATATTGATTTGGAATGATATTCTCATTCCTTAAATAGTTAATAATTCAGTAGTCTAACTCGAGAATAAGATTTTTATCACAATCTAATTCTCAATAATGATGGGTATTCTTAACCCATGACCAATGGCAGTAATTTCATACCTGTGAGTATTTTATAGGAAGAATAAAAATCTCAAAATGAACCTCCTTATAAAATTAACTTCATTTCAAAAATTAAGTTCTTCTCCTAAAATCAAATTTTTCTTAAATTAAGTTTTTTCTTAAAATAATTTAGCAACGATATTAATTCTCACACTAAATTATTGACAATAACCAAATACTAGATATAATATTATTATTTATAATTGAAACCTGGATATCTTATTACTAGGAATGAAATACTCATTCCGTTATTTATATTGTCAATATTAATGGGGTGATTTTTAACTGATAAACAACTAAAGTTAACCATAGGATCACATTACAATACCTTTTAATACATTGAGAATATAAAATAAAAAATATTTTGAAAGTACAAAATATCTTTTTTTAATTTCTGGGATATAAAGTGTGACTCTCTCATATTTCTATTCTTCTTATTTATGATACTTTTACGGGTAATGTTATACTTACTAAATTTGTTTACCAAATCTTCATTTTATATGATGTGGTAATAATTAAAATTCAAAAATTTCTTTAATGGGAATGTTATATCAATTTCTAATAAGATATAATTAATTTATTTTTAGATGTCGCATGCAATTATCAAACTAGTTTAGTTCAATTCAATACTTAAATTTTAGTGATTATCAAACAGCCTGCGAATGAAAAAAATTTAACATTCAATTTTCAATATTAAGCTTTCAATTTTATTATCATCCACTAAAATTTAACTATTGAATTGAATCAAATTATTTGACAAATATAAGGAGTTGAAGTTTAAAAATTATTATTATTCTATATTTTTCATTCTTTTTAAATATCTCACCGGAAACTTCCTTATTCCTACCGCCACCATCACAATGGTGATAGCGGCGGCGATGGTGGCACAATGGTAGCGGTGACGCCGACACAATGGTGGTGATGGTAGATGGTGTATATTTGAGAAGTCAAGTGTATAAAATGCATTGAGAGTATGTTTGTCTATTATGAAAATTTATAAAATTTTTATTGACTAACATGTTTCAACAGTAAGTGATAACTATATGGTTTACTACTTAAAATTTTAAATTATTTTTAAGAAGTTCTTAAAATATTATATGATATAAATTTTAGATTACGTACCAGACGAGTTTAATTCATTAAATATTTAAAGTATTTAATTTTAAACCTTAAATAGTATTATTAAACAATTCATAAAAATCTATTAGGTTTTATCGATATCTATAAAACAATTACGAAAATTGTTTAATTAGCCAGCTTTCTAGTGGCATATTCTTTGTTCTTGTCAAACGTTGCCTTGCTGCTATAATATTCTTTGAGAGTGTAGTGAGACAAGGGAATTTTTAACTTTTGACATAGGCCACTGCTCATCCAATGTCCAAATTATTATAAATCCTCTGTACTTTCATCTCTTTTTGTCATGTATTGTGGTGGATGTGATGAAAAGCAAACATAGCATGTGTTTTGAAATTTTAGCATTATCACTCCGAGGCAATTCATTTTTAGCTTTGAAAGGATTCACAACAATTATGCATGATTAAATTATTTAATGAGAAAAATAAGTGTTAATAATCACGTGATGAAGAGTGAAGTACTAATAGGCAGAGTACCTCTACTCGAGCAATGGTTCGGCCAACCGAGCTATATTTCGGCTAACCATACAAGTTCGGGACTTAATCGAGCGATTGACGAAGTTGTCTGGTCAACAATGGAACCGAGAAGTGGGTGAAATCGAGGAAAAAACTAACAACTGGTGTTTATTAGAAACACACCCTCCACCAAGGATGAGACTTATCCAAGGGATAGCTAGACTATTCCGAGTAATTAGAGGCGGTGTAAAATCAATAAGGAAATCTGAAAAAGTTCAGCACAAATTAAGAAAAAATTAGCTTAACAATATGTGTGCCACCTCATACAGCCGAAACCCTAGATGGGGGAATAGAGCACTATAAATAACGTTTAAATCTAAGGTACGCATTTATTTCCCTATAATTTATTTGTTTATTCTTAGAACCCTAATTGATTTAAGTATTAGAGTTTCTTCAAACGATTAATTCCCAGTTTTTTGACAATTTATCTGTTTTGTAGAAAGAAAATGCACTTTTGTTCGTTTTTAAAAAATCTTACACAAATATTTTTGACACTCCAATTCACAGTACAAGATTTTTCCCTGGTGGTTTTTGTCGCGACAAATATGAAAGAATCGTCCAATTTTCGTAACCATTTTGCATTAAGCACTCAATCAAATTGAATCCAAAACTTTTGATTCATGTCAAATTTCAAACTATGTAATTAAGTTCAGCACAACTCTCATCGAACAACTAATATTATGTATTAGTGATATTTGATTAGATCCAATACTCGTGTACCCTATTTAGTCAAATTTGGATCAAACTTTCTCATTATAGGACTAGTTCATAGGATTAGATACTCACGAGCCTTATGTGTTAGATGAATTTGGCCACAAGGAATTGAAGATATCTTTTTTTTTTTTTTGTCTCTACTAAGTTTATATAGTTTAAATGAGACTATGATAGTAATGCAATTGAAATTCCAAGGGTTAACCCTACGAAGATTTGCTGCTCCAAAAAAAAAAAAAAACCTAATGAAGATAAGGACGAATTATAAATTCAAATATCCTGAGATTGAAACATAACAAGCCCGCTAAAGTTCGATCATAAGGATTTTATCTCTCATGAATTCTTTAATCATGGTTGTACAATGGAAGAGATTAATGGAAGTGTGCATAAATTGGCTCGGATACCTTTAACCGTATTACCAAAAAAAAAAGTGATACAATTGAAACATGTGAATCCATCCTTCTTTTTTTTTTTTTTTTTGGATGATAAGAAAAATCTTTGTCTGTCCTTAGTGAGATAAAGGCAACTTAATCGTTCAAGTTCGTGAGTCCGAATATAACAAATGACAAACTCGGGTGCACAATTCAATTTTTTTAACTCATACACCAGTTATTTTAAGATTTATATTTCAATGAGAATTCGAATCTATACCAAAATTTGGATACAGGTTGTACAAATAATTAAATTTTAATCCTCAATATCATGAAAACCAAGTCCTTCACAAAATAATGAATACAATTACATCAAAGGTTCGCTAGTGCGAGTCTGTCCTTATGGTGTCACGTTTATGTGATTTATTCATGGTACCTTGTCCGACAGGAACACGTGAGGCGAAAGTCACGAATGGTGAGCCACGGGGATCATGGACCATGTACTACTGCCATATTAAGGTGCACCTAACATGACTTTGCTTATTCATGGCTGCATCACATACATTTTCATGGAGGTGGGGCCTCCTTGATTTTGAAGTCCATTAAATGTTGGGACCTGACAACAAGGTTTAGATTTTTTATTTTTTTTGGGTACTGCTACTTGTTGGAATCTAAACCTCATTTTTTTTTTATTATTTCTAAAAAAAAAACCTCATTTTTATGGACAATATTTTATGAATAAATGATTTTAATTAGGTGTGTTCTAGTAGAAGAAATTGTGTGATGTTGGTATATTCAATAGAGTAATGTTATTTTGATATAATCTCTTCATTTAATTATTTATGATTATTTGATTGATATTGGGTATTAATATACTTTTGGACCTGTTATCAACTTCATGGTAGTGTTAGATTAAAGCAATAGATTATGTCAGCAAATTATGTATAAATAGTATTTTCAATAGTAGCATGTAGTAATCTCAATGGATAATTCAAGTGATAATATGAATGAGATATAAACGCAGAACGTCATGAGTTTGAATCTTGACAATTTTTTGGGGTCAGACCTCCTGAATACACTAGTTCTGACATAGATGTCTTGCTTTTAACTGGATCGAAGAGAAAATTTATTGAGATACGCGTAAATTGATCCAAACACCCTTGACCGTTAAACCCAAAAAAATTTGTGTTAGTACGTGTTAATTCTCAAGTAGTGGAGAAAGTGAAATCTTAATATTTTAGTGGTTATAAGAATTAGTGGAGATATTGATATGTTCACGGCAGGAGTTATTGTTGAAATCTATATAAATAGCGAATAATATTATTTAAGTATAACTTGTCGACTTAGTCAAACAACATACTTAGAGTGATAATGTGTCCTAATTCGTATTACGGTTCAGTGCCAATCTAATAATGATGATTTATTATGTCAATAAATTAGATTAATAAATTAGGTCTAACACATATAAAGTAGTGTAAGAAATAAGAACAGTCGAGTTGAGCGGAGTTTTTCTCAGGTGTGATTGCAATCTCCTTTAAGTGAAAATTAGAGTATATTTGAGTGTTAACATATTCTACTTCTTTCCGTTTTATTTCTAATCCTTTTAACTATTTTCTCACTAGTATAATATTGGAGTAATTTCAACACTACTTGCTACTGTATCGACTTTACCAGTGAATGCCACCAAAAATATCCGATACTATATTCATATAGTCGGTATTATAATCGATACTAAACTTATGTGGAACAACACTAGGAATCCCAAATTGCATCCCAAATAATTCTTTGTGGTTTAATTGACAACTTTATTTTATGATACAAACGGATAAGACATCATAGAAACACATATATACATAACCAATCCTCTGTTCTTGAGTTGGCTGGTGAAAGAAAAAATTAATCAAATGTCATGATTTCTTGCTAACTCAATGCCTATCAAATTCCCCTCCTGGGCATCAGGCACATTCATTTGGTCATTTGCTCTTCTAATAAAGCTTTCTCTAAAGAACTGAAACCCAAATCTCGAGTAGCATTGGATGAGGAGCAAAGAAGCCCAACTGCAAACTCTTCTGTTGATCAGTGAGGTTTGAATGAAGCCGGTTATCGGCCGGTGCCTGTCGAGAAGACGAGCAATGGTGATTAACAATGCAGCTGCAGAAATGCCACCAGAGACGATGAACAGACCGGAGAAAGGCTCGTAGTCTAAGCTTGGGTCATCGGATATGCCAACTGATGAGGAGCAGTTTGAAAAGGAAAGCATGTGTTTCTCCAATGTGTTTATCTCTCCACTTTCTGTTACCTTGAGAATTGCCTCTGAAATATCAGTGGCCAGTGGAGAACCCTTTGGAAAGACCTGAGAATGAGAAACAAATTTAAAGAGTAATTAGTTTTAGTATACAAGCAAATGGGGAAATTACTACTAAGAGTAGGGTACAAGCAAATGGGCTGATCGATTCAAGATTCAAGATCAGAAATCCAGATTTAACTCGAAAATCAATTTGGGTTCAACTAGAGTAATACTCAAATTCAATTTTAATTTCAATCATGTTTAGTATGACGAGAAAGGGTTTATTATAGATAGTGCAATGAAAATTGTGAAACTAATTATGCCTATAAGCATGTGCCCACGAAAATAGCCCAACTGTTGAGCCTACTCTGTCACAACGACACCACGTAGGATGCGAGCCGCCAAATTGACCGGGTTGAATTTGAATTAAACCCCAACTAGTGGGTTCGACTCGATTCGAATAAAACTCGACCTAAAAAATACGATTTATTTATATGTAAAATAATCAAGTTGTTCGGGGTTGGCTCATTTTCTAAACGAGCTGAGTTTGACCAATTTTTTTAGCTCATTTAAAAAAACGAGTTTGACAGACTCGACTCGATTATCGGCCCTAGATGCATCCTAACTCAAAGAGGCAGTGAAAATTTTGAATATTACAAAGCCAAAACCACCAAGCTTGAAGCTAGCCCCAGCCCTGGTATAGCCATCACAATATTTCGCAAAGAAGACTTTGGCATGTGGATCCACAAAAAAAGCTGCTTTAATCTCTCCTCTCTGAAAGGCTTCTGGGTAGTCATTGATTGAGTTGATGCTCTTTATATTCTCTGGCTTGAAGTGCAAAACATTCACCAAATACCTCACAATAAAAGAGTTGCCATTGCACCCAACAGCTGCGTTTGTTGTTTGAAGGTATTCAATGTCTATTACAGATGGTTGGAGCCTTTGGACAGTCATCATGGAGCTAAGAACTGCAGTGAAACATGCTGAGACTATCACAATTACAAAAAACCATGTTGCTAGCACTACCCGAGATAGGTTGCTTTTAATGGATTCTCCTGCAAAATTTGATTACGTGTAAGTAACTGAAAAAAACCGACATTTCCCCATAATATAAAATCCCAATGACTCTCGACTTTTGAAATGTTTTAACAGGACGCATTCATCCAAAGACTTACTTATTTGGGATTCATAGTATTTTTCAATATAAAGGTCACATATGATGGGCTTCAATAAGTGATGAATCATATATAGGGTTGCTTTTAATGGATTCCCAACTGCAAAAATTGGCCATGTACAAGTAATTGCAAAAAAACACATTTCAATTTATATCAAGTAACATACAGTATGCTTTTTTTTTTTTTTTTTCGTTCAACAGTAAAGGCGGGGGTTTGGGTCGATTTACGCTCACCTCGACTAATTCCCTTTTCGGTCTGATCAAAGATAAACCATCCATATCGAGACTAAGATATTTATGAAAGATAAATCTCTCATAACTTAGCCCCAAAGAATTGCTAAGATTTGGACTCAGGACGTTTAAGTTTACAGCTCGTCCTCATTACCACTTAAGCTATCCCTTGAGATTTTTATATAGTATGCTTCAATAACCCTAAAAGATAGATCAAGTGATAATAAGGACAAGTTATAAACTTAAATATACTGAGTTCGAATCTTGAGATGAATTGTCTTTGACCCATAAAAAAAATTAGTCGAGGTACAAATGACACCGGAGATAGTTGAACCAAAAAAAAAAATTGTATGCCTCAATGACTGATGACAGGCAACTTGGAAGCCCATGGACGGAGGGATGAAGAATTTCCCAACAAAACTTCAATAAATTTCATGTCGGAGTGGGTACGAAATTGAAGCTGAATATAAGATATTCTCAATATCAAACTCTTTCAAATCAACTTTATAATCCTTACTGACAAAAAAAAATAATCCGTTGAATTAGTTAAAGTTGGTACTTACTTTGGGAAAAGGAGAGAACAGTCATAGAAAACCAAAGCATTTCTCCAATTTGGTGAGGAAATGAACCTTCGTACTCTGGATTGTTGTTTACATGCTCAATCAACCAGATGACACACCCTGTGGCTATGCTTATTATGGCCATCAACACCCACATTTTCGTTTTAAAGGCTTTCATGAACAGAAACCTTTCCTTCTGTATATCTGGTTTCACTGTCACTACCATAACTAGTCCAGATTCTATGTAAGGCTGTGAAAATTCTGCATACTTGTACCGCTCCGCCATTATTTCTGTATCACCAACTGCTGCATCCAAGCTCTTATTTTTTTTTTTACAAAAGAAATATTCATCGGTGTCAATCAAAATGCGATAAACATGTCAATCAATGGGGACCAACTCAGCAGAATCTTGTCTCAACATTTTTAAGATCAATTGCATAAATCATGTTTTGCCATTGTGTTTTATCGTGGTTTTAAGTCATAGAACAAAAAATACTGGCTATATGTGTTGTTGGACACAAAGGTATTCAGAAACTTCCAAAGCAAAATAATAAATCACTTTGTTACATTTGCACAATTGGAAAGATTGGAGGACTATTGAACTATACGAGCTGAAATCCAATATCTAATTATTCAAAGCTGCAATCAAATTCGTGTTTACTTTCTAACATAAGGTTGAACTCGGTTTATCTTATACAAATACAAGCCAAACTTGTATAACTAATTTGAAACTCGTCACGATCCCAAGCTAAGGCCTGAGATCTCTTTGTCAACAAACAAGTTGAACCCAACTACTCACAGGCGGGTTAGTTGGGTTCCTTTCTACCACTACTCTTCATTTTCAATAATACTATTTAGACTTAATTCGTCGGCTTAACTTATCATTATCTTTTGATTAGCAGCAAATTCACTTAATATTGTGATCGATTATTCTATTGATATCGGATGTAAGTGATGGTATCATGAAATGAAAGACATACCTTGTTATGAACTTCAGCTACCATTTCATCATAGGAGCCATAGTAGGGAACTAACACATATGGCAAGTCATAAGGTAGCCTATTCACAGCAGCTTCAAAAACTTCAATTGAAAATCCGGTCACCGACGTTTCATTCCGGCTTGGATCATAATTAACATTCACAAATTGATTGAAAGCACCCCTCGCCGGAACACCAATCTTCATCGGTTTCTCTCCCTCACCTAAACTCCATCCCTTTGGAACACTTTGGTCACTGCCTGGCCAGTAAATTGAACCCAACTCTCCCACTAAACCATTGCCTACTCTCATCTTCATTCCAACCCGTTTGATGAAGTCCTGTGAGAAACCAAACAATGGTGACCAGAATGTTACTTCTCTATAGCTTTTACCAATCACATTAATGATCCTAAAGATTGGTAATTCTGATAATTGGCCTTTATTGAATCTTATTCTCCCAGATAAACCTTCAAAATCACTAGACAAAATGTGATTTATTAACCCTTTTGAGTTTCTCTCTCCTTGTGAAATTTGCATGGCTCTAGCAATGGCCAACGTTGCATCATAAGCTCGAAGTGCAAATATACTTGGGTCTGAATGTTCCTCTTCTTCTGGGTGTTCTGACCTAAAATTCCTGCGAAATCTGAGTCTGAACTGTCTATAAGACTCAGTTGTGTCTATGAAGTTGGTCTTGAAACCAATTACACCTTGCATGTTAGAAATGGCGGATGGATCAACAGAATCAAGAAGGCTTGCAATGTCATCTGTAACAATCCATACGTACCCTTTCTCCATCATTCCCATTTGCTTTGCCTTCTCGAAAAGAATGGCGGCAAAGTCTAAAGAAGACTGTATGAGTATAAACACCCTATTGCTCTTGCTTCTGAGCTTCTTCAGCTCTTCTTCAATGAAGTTTCTTGTGTTTGTTAGAGAAGATATAGGAGGGAAAGCTGTGTGGCGCTCAATGACTGAGTCAACAGCTAGGAGTGAGTCGGAGAGGTGAATGATGAGCTCAGAATCAGTGGAGAGACTGGTGCTTTGTTCATATATTGCTGTCACCTTTCGCCACCTGAAGTGACCGACAATGGCGGCGATGCACTGCATGTGGGTTGTGAGATCGTTACTCATCTGGATGAAAGATGGTGGTTGTGGTGGCAGAAGTGGCGGAGATATGGGTGGTATTGGGGCTATGGACATGATGGGGATGTCTTTGGTGACATTGTTTAACTCACGGACCACAGAAGCTTCATGCAAGGTCAATGGTCCAACTATGGCTTCGGCATGTTTGCGGTCGATGAGGTCAATTGCTGCAACAGTGTGGTCAAATTTAGCCTTTGGAGTTTGAGCAATGCTACTTGGAGTTTTGGAGAGTGAAATTAGAGATGGTCTTATTTGGACATAATTTAATAATGAGCATAGACTTTAAAAATAGAATTAAAAAGCATGTGAGAAATTAATGCATTATGACTATTATACTAGCACTAGATTGTCAACATTAATGATATTTATTGCTCTTAATTAATAAATTATGAGCAATGAATTCAAGTAAAAAAAAGTGTATAATTGGGTTTCTCAATAAATACATGGTGTGTTGTCTACCAAAAAGAGAATGTAGGGGAAAAACAAAAGCATTGCGAGGGATTTGAACTCTGATGGTTATAATGCATTAAGTTTGAAATTAAGTGTTTATCAGTTAAATAAAAGTAGCATTATTGCTCTTAGTTGAAATTCTCGTCTCCATGAAAATAAATAATTGGAATTATTGCTTGTATGAAAATGAAAAGATTTTCATACCAACAGTTGACTAAGGGCTAGTGGATGGAAATGGTCAAAAAATTACAAGCAGTTGGTGGGGTGTACACCACCTACCGAATGAGCTATCAATAAACCAAGCCCTTCAATTAGAGGTGATCAGTAATAGAGATGTCAATGGGACTCGTAAATGAATGTCATGCTCTATTGAAAGGCATTTTAACATCATCGTTCCCTATTATTTATGTGCCCTATTGTTCATGTTGTATTAGTTCGTCGTATCAAAAAATACTAGTTTGATGTTGGGTCAGCCCCTCTCGGTTTTTTGTTCCTTTTTTTCTTGGGAGAATTATTCTTAAATCCCCTCAAATATTATATACAGACTCCCTGAAATTTTTATACGCACATAACACTTAGATCCCTTGTCATTAAATATCTATTAGTAAATTACACTCAAATTCCTTGAAATTTAGAGACGTATAATACTTAGACCACTCAAGTTTAAAATACTATAATTAGACCAGAAATATTCCAATCAAAGATAAAATATCAAATATTTTAAATTTTAAAACTAAAATTCATATTCTATTGTATTATTTATTAAAATAAATCAAAAATAACAAAATAATTTTTTCTTAAAAAATCATAATTATTATACAATTATATTATCATTGGAATAAAACTAAAAAAATCAAATAAGGGGTCTAAGTCATCCATAATATTTTTTTTAAGTCATCCATAATGTAACATGAATTTTACAACCAAAATTCATGTTATATTATGTTATTTATTGAAATAAAATTAAAATAAAAAATCTTTTTTTTTAAAAAAAATCATAATTAGTATACAATTATATTATTTGTATTCAATATTTTAAATGTTAGAGAGTCTGAATGATTAAGTGATAAATTCCAAGAGATCTGAGTATAATTCAACTTTTTTTTAACAACCCAGAATATAGGAGCATACGAGAAAGTGCGCTTAAAATGGAGCATCGAAATTGCATTTTGGTGCATTGTTTCGGTTATTTAAGAAATAGAAATATTTCGACAATGTTCCAAAAACATACTAAAAACGAATAAATAATTTAAAAGTATCTTTCCAAAATATTAGTCCAAACATATCAAAGAAACACCTTGAAATACTTTAAAATATGCCCAAATAATTGTGAAAACACCTTAAAATATTTCAAAACACCTTAAAACAATGGAGTTTCAATTCCATCACCAATTCATTTCAATCTCCTTGAAAGTGAAAACACTTCAGCTATTTCAAAACGATATTTTGATCTTTAATTACTTAAAGATTCAAAGAGTTAAAAGAATGGAAAGAAAAATCATTGTACATGGAAAAGTTTGGCTCAATTCTCAGATTGAACAACAATACTGCAATATTCCAATGGGAAATGGCATATGATATTCTTATTATGCTAAGAAAAGAATCTGATTTTTTCGAGCATTGTTATTTTTGGACTTAGATTACTGACCCCCCATTACTGGCTAGGAACCGCTATCAATATAATGGTGATGATGTATTAGATCGATAAGTAAAGTTAGAAAATTAAATCCAAATAGTATTTTTTTCATATATTTCAAGAGTGAGAAGGCTACTTTACCGGCATAAGCCGCTTGAGCTGAGTTCCCATAAGAATCCTTGAGGTTGATCAGAACCAACTCAGAACCTGTTGACAACTGATGCAAATCATGAACAGCCATCTCCATGGCTAATTTCTGCTCCTTACCTACACGACTGCTCGTATCGACAACACCACCTATACTCATAGGTATCCGGTGGGGGCTCACCGGACCACTGTCCTCTTTGTTCACCGATTGTTTTGAATGTTGCACCAGTAATAGGAACCCTAAAAGGAAGGAGAGCACAAGGGTAGACATTTTCTCTTTCCAGAGGTTCTCCTTCTTTGAATGAAAAGTGATATAAAACCTTTAATTCTCAAGTTTCTAGAATGGGCTTAACTTAAAGTTATTGCTTGACAATCAAGTGCTTGACTCAGTCCAAATGCTTTGTTTTTTTGAACAGTCATAAAGACTTTTGTTAGGCATATGGTTACTTGAGAAAGCAGAAGTATAAACGAAAGTTCTCATGGATTTCCTCTAATTGGTAAAAGTCAACTGGTTTTTGTTTTTTTGGCGAGGGTCGTTACCGATACTTACAATGATTCTTCGAATCTTCAACTATGATTTTAATATACTGTTATAAATTACAATATGTTAAATTTCCTTGATATTTCTCTAACTCGAGGCTTAAAGTTCTTTTGTAGGCAATTTATCACTGTTGTTGTAATTATTTTTATTATTTTTTTGTACAAAAAAAAATAATATTTTTGTGGATAATTTATCATTTTTGTGAGTATTTTTAATATTACTGTAATAAATATTTTTATCACTTTTTTTCGATATTATAACAGTGATAAAAATACATATAAATATAATAAATGTCAATGCGATACTATTTTTTTTAATACAGTAGACAAGTCCCTAAAATGAACTTAAAGTTTAATTATTGTTTCACAATCAAGTCCTGACTCGGTCCAAATATACATATTCAGAGATAGATAAAGACTTGAGAAAGAGGGAGTAGTATAAATGAAAGTTCTCATGAATTTCCTCATATGTTACAAAAGTCAACTAATTTTTTATTTTTATTTTTTTGAAAATTGACCAAAAATACAATGACGTAGTCTTTTAAGTCATTAAATCCAAGCAGAGTTTTTTTTAAGGCATTAAGGCCATGTTCAGATGCTTTTTTTTGTTCTCCCCCTGTTCTTTTAAAAAAAATTGACATGAAAGAAGATTTCTGGTTTAATTGACAACTTGATTTTATGTAGGGCTGCAACTCAGACAAGTTGAGAGGTCAACCCTAATCCTAATTCTAACCTGACCTCAATCCGAGGTACTTAACTCGAGTATTGCCCGAGTATTATTTGGGTGGGTTTGGGTTGAATTTGAGTTATTTAATTCAGACTGATTTCGGGTTAATTCAGACGAATGAGAGAAAGACTGAGAGTCTGAGACCATACAAGAAAAGAGTGATGAGTAAGAAAGGGATCTAAGAGTGATGGAGGCGCAGAGGTGAAGAATTGAAGTGAAGTAAAAGTCTGGATTCTGAAGAGTGAAGATAAATATTAACCCTAGTTAAATATATTTATATATTTATGTATATTTGGATTCAATCCGATTTAACATTCAAGTTGAACCCAACAACTCGAGACCTTTACCTGAGGCTTGCCCGAACTCAATTCAGGTTAGGGTTTTTTAGCTCAGGTCAACCCAAATATTAAAAATTTTAATTCAAGTCTTATTTTTTTCAAATTGAGCTCGGGTTGAATTTGGATTAGCCGCCCTAGTTACACGCCTAATTTTATGATACAAACTGGCAAGATATCATAAAAACACAAATAGACATTACCAATCCTCTGTCCCTTGTGGTTTCTAGGGGAAAAACAAAATTAAATGTTATGATTTCTTGCTAACTCAATGCCCATCAAATTCGCCTCCTGGGCATCAGACACATTCATTTGGTCCTTTGTTCTTCTATTGAAGCTTTCTCTAAAGAACTGACATCCAAATCTCGCGTAGCATAGAATGAGGAGCAAAGAAGCCCATCTGCAAACTCTTGTGCTGATCAGTGATGCTTGAATAAAGCCGGTTATCGGCTGGCGCCTCTTGAGAAGACGAGCAATGGTGATTAACAATGCAGCTGAAGAAATGCCACCTGAGATTAGGAACAAACCGGAGAAAGGCTCGTAGCCTAAGCTTGGGTCATCGGATATGCCAACTGACGAGGAGCAGTTTGAAAAGGAAAGCATCTGTTTCTCCAATGTGTTTATCTCTCCACTTTGTATTACCTTGAGAATTGCCTCTGAAATATCAGTGACGAGAGGAGAACCCTTTTGAAAGACCTGAGAAGAGAATGAGAAACAAATTTAAGAGTAATTAGTTTAGTGTACAAGCAAATGGGGAAACTTGATTTAACTCGAGAATCAAAATTCATGAATTTCACCTGATTTGAACTTCAAGTATAACATGTGTTGTATTACACGAAAATCAGATTCCAGTAAAAACTCGAATTCAATCCAAATAAATACCAAACCTCATTTGGTACAACTAGAAAAGGGTTTACCATGCATATCACAGTGAAAATCAGACCGAATAGAGGATTAGTTGAAGTGTATGTAAGTTGCCCAGTACTTTGAACTCAAAAAAAAAAAAATGAAAATTGGATCGAAAATCAAGGAGGTGAAAAATTGAATATTACAAAACCAAAACCGCCAAGCTTGAAGCTATCCCCAGCCTTGGTATAGCCATCACAATATGTTGCAAGGAAGACTTTGGCGTGTGGATCCACAAAAAAAGCTGCTTTAATCTCTTCTCTTTGAAAGTTTTCTGGGTAGTCATTAATTGAATTGATGCTCTTGATATTCTCTTGCTTGAAATTCAAAACATTCACCAAATATCCCTTGATAAAAGAGTTCCCATCGCACCCAACAGTTGCGTTTGTTCTTTGAAGGTATTCAATGTCTATTTCGGATGCTTGGAGCCTTTGGACAGTCATCATGGAGCTAAGAACTGCAGTGAAACATGCTGAGACTATCACAATTACAAATAACCATGTTGCTAGCACGACCCGAGATAGGTTGTTTTTAATGGATTCTCCTGCAAAATTTGGCCATGTATAAGCAAGTGAAAAACAAAAACATTTTGCATATTATGAAAGAGCAATGCTAGGGATCCCAAATAGAATCCCAATGACTCTAAAGTCTAGACCCTTGGATCAGTGGGTGTCTTGAACTTTTTCCAACGAAATCCATTCATCCAACGACTTACTCATTTGGGATTCTAAATTTAGGATATGTTGGTGTGTGAAATCAAAAAGAGTGAATCGTGAGAGTTGAGTGTGTTTTGTGTGTTAATGAATGAGCTGTGTGTATGTGTGTGACTTGATTAACCGTAAGCAAGAACGCAAAGGAATAAGTGGTTTTATCAATCTGAAGAGTGAGGCTAGTTCATTGTAATGGAGTCTCTAACTCTTCTGGTTTGTTTTGCTTGATGAAGAAGACGATTACACTCTTGGAAATACAATTGCACATACATTTACAAGGTAAGAGTCTGCCCATTTATACATTTGGGGTAGTGTGGCCTCCTAGTTTGTTAAAATATTTGAAAGAATATTTGGTCTTTAAAGACTTTTTTTCCTAAGTATGATGTGACATTCAAGAAGTTATGATGTGGTATTTTAGAGGTGGTGACTTCTTCCACAAGACATGATTTAATAGTATAATTCATCTTATGTCCTTTTTTCAATCTAAAATGACTTGTTTCAGTAGTTGTTGATGAGACACTTTTGAGAAGGGATAGGATTCTGACACGTGTTCTTAGTTCCGAGGGCACCTCCTTATTCTGATGAAGCCACGCATCCTCGGGACCAAAAGCGCCCTTTGTTTCCATTCTAACACGTGTCCTCGGCAGTGAGGCACGACCTTTGTTTGACACTACCATGTGTCCTCGACACCTAGGGTACCTCCTGTACCTTGGTACTGCCAAGTGTCCTCAACACCGAGGGCACCTCCTCTAAGGTACAGTCACATGTCCTGGATTAGGCAGACATTGAAATGTTGAAAAATAGACTTAAGAAAGGGATTTAGAAGAAACCTAAGACCGTTCTCAAAAGAAGCAGCAAAGAAATAAACCTTCTTAAGCACGATGGAGTCATATCGAAGGTCTACGTGAGGAGACTAGTATTGCATAATCCTAGGGAAGACGAAGCTAGCAGAAAGAACACTTAGGTAAGGAGGGGTAACCTCACTAAAACCTACTAAGTCTGAAGCATGAGGGGAAAGCTTGGCGACCCCAGCACTACCAGAGGTTCCAGCCTCGCCTTTCTTGGCTTTCCCTTTTCAGGATGCCTCAAACCTCGGGGTAGGTCCTAAAAGAGGTAAAAGGATCTCTACCTCGTCCACATCAACGGTAAAATTGTCTATCTCATCCCCATATCCCCCAAATCATCCTCGTCTAGCTCGAGAGATTGATCTCCCATAGCTAAAGAGACAGAGGAGGCAGTGGTCTCAAATGAATCAAACATGGAAGCGTGGAGGAAAGGAAAACTAAATGAGACGTAAAGAGGAGGAACGTTGCTAAAACAATCTTCGAGAGCCCTGGGATCAAGGCTCCAATGACCAAAGAGGAAAACCATAGTAATAGCGTAAGAGTCTAAGAAGAGTGGAAGAAAAGATAAGGAATGACCTCGACTCCTAAAGAAGCAAAAACGAACAGTTCAAAAATGAAGCAACCACCTCAAATCTGAGAAATCCATAATGAATAGAGGCCTAAAAAGAAAGAGAGGAACATAGCAAAAGACGTACCTAGATGAGGGCAATCAACAATCAAAGACCCAGGATAGATCCAAGGAATGGACTAAGCTAGCCTCGCAGAATTTTTGGAATGAATTTGGAAAATTGCCAGTAAAACCCTAGATTTCCAATAGATTGGGGAAGACGAAATTGCGAAGGAAGAGGAAAAGGAGAAAAATCTAGAGAAAGAATGCGAAGGAAATTCAAAATGATAAAGAAGGCGATTTTCGTCTGCTGATGCATTTAAGGCGAACATACAAGACACATGGAAACAGGGGGATGAGGGACGTGCACGAGAAATGATTGCATGTTCGCAACACCGTAATAGTTGAGAAACACCCGATTGTTCGCATCTCAAGGTCGATCCTAGACAACCTCGCTCACAGAGGTCAAAACTCAGTCCCAGCTCATATAACTTTATTTGACCAGGGACTAGGGGCAACTGATGATACCTTAAATATGCTTAAGGATGAGTTCGGTAATTCAGGTCATGCTTTCCTAGATCAGGAGCCCAACTCGCTTTAGATGCCCATGAAGCTCGAGGTCAAACCTCCCATCCCTAAAACTGCGACTCAAGGAGGGTAGCACAGAAGATAGCTGGCTTCCACCTAAGTGCCACCCAGATAGTAACAGTCGCATATCCAGACAGAAGAGTCGCAACTGACCCAACACCCTCCACAATCGTTGCAGGATAGTAGCAACCGTTACAAGGAGAACCAAGAATCTCGTCAAAGATCAATCAAAGCTCAGAATCAACTATAAATAAGGGGCATAACCCCCAACAGAACACATACAAGCCATTATAGCCTAAACAAATATTATGTAAACTCATTTCTTATCAATATACGTCCCAAGAGCAAGAGACTCCCTTAAAAGTGGATTAGTCGAACTCCCGAACTAATAAACTACTATAAACTCTCTGTGTTAATTATTTATCCCTTGTCCAGATTTTAAAGAGCTTAGGAGCTCAAACTGAGTTGCTCAATGCCCATCAATTTCCTATCTCTATTTTATCGTACTAAATAAATCATCAAATTTGATTTGTGGTAATGGTCACAGGGACTCTACAACCTTGTTCTTAGATTTTTTTTTTTTCTTAGAAGGATTAACAGGTCTCTATTCTCCCTTTTTCTCTTTATGAACCGAGCTACCATAGCTACGGCTTTTTTATTTCGTGACTGGTGCCCAGATCCTCGAGCTATCGAGGATTGCTCATTGATTTGATGTAAAGACAAAGTTATAGTATTATATATTAAGATCACAAAGAGTTCTTTGAAACAAAATGCCAATAAATCTTAAGTCTCAAATACCCTTGTTTGCTAATGGAATTAGATAAAAAAAACAGACTTCAAAAACATTATCAATTTTTTATTGGGGACTCATAAATGAGTCCAAAAAAATTGTCCCAGTCCCAACTCGGAAGCCCATGGACTAAGGGTCAGAGAATTTCCTAACAAAAATTCAATAAATTTCATGTCAGAGTGTGTACGAAATCGAAGCTGAACACAAGACATTATCAGTATGAAACTCTTTCAACCAACTTTATAATGAAAAAAGAAAGATAATCATTTGAATTAGTTCAAGTTGGGACTTACTTTGGGAAAAGGAGAGAACAGTTATAGAAAACCAAAGCATTTCTCCAATTTGGTGAGGAAATGAAGTTCTATACTCTGGATTGTTGTTTACATGCTCAATGAACCAGACGACAAACCCTACGGATATGCTTATTGTTGCCATCAAAACCCACATTTTCGTTGTAAAGGCCTTCAAGAACAAAAACCTTTCGTTCTTTGAATCTGGTTTCACACTCACCACCATTACAAGTCCAGAATCCAGGTAGGGCTGGGAAAATTCTGCAAGCTTGTATCGCTCTGCCATTATATCTGTATCACCTACTGCTGCATCCAAGCTCTTTTTTTTTTTTGTCACATAGGAAATATTCATCAGTGTCAATCAAAATACAACAAACAGAGCAATCAATGGGGGAGAGGGTTGAAAGCACAGTTTGTCACGACTTTTAAGTCTTATATGATCAACTCAACAGAATCTTGTTTCGATATGTTTAACATTGACTACATGAATCATGTTTCACCATTGTGTTTTGCCACGATTTTATACTAGCTATATGTGGTGCAGGACACAAGGGTATTCATAATAAACTTTAAAAAAAAAACAATAAATCACTTTGTTACATTTGCACAATTGGAAGATTGGAGGACTATACGAGCTGAAATCCAATTGCTAATTATTTTAAGTTGCAATCATGTTTGAGTTTACTTTCTAACACAGGGCCAAGCTCGCTTTATCTAGTCAAACATCTGGACCATTTGAGCCTTAGTATGAAACAAAAAATAAAAATACAAGTTGTACTTGTACAACGTATTTGAAGCTCGCCACGATCCCAAGTCAAGCCTAAGCTCTCTTTGTGAATGAACTAGCCGAGCCCAACTAATCGAGTGTGGTTTAGTCTGGTTCCTTTTTGTCACTACTCTTTCTGTTGGTGAAATTTCAATAAAATTGAAAAACAAAATACAAAATAGTAAAACTTGACATGAAATAAATTAGATTGAAGTGCTTGTATCTTGCTCTCTTTAACTCTCATGCATATATACATAATGTTTACCTACGTACATTGTACATGCATTTCATAAATATAATTCATGCATAATAAGAGTTATGAATACATGTACCCAATGATCCATTAATCCACTGTCAGTCCAATAAAAATGATAATGAGGTCAGTAAATTTGGCCCCTAAATTTAGGTCCAACAAGGATGGCAAAGAATCAAACTCATGTTGTCTCACATTGATCTGATATAAATGATGTTAATGGAATGAAAGACATACCTTTTTATGAACTTCAGCTACCATTTCATCATACGAGCCATTCCAGGGAACGAACACATATGACAAGTCATAACGTAGCCTCTTCACAGCAGCTTTAAAAACTTCAATTGAAAATCCGGTCACCTTCGTTTTATTCCTACTTGGATCATACCAAACATTCACAAACTGGGTGAAAGCACCCCTCGCCGGAACGCCGATCTTCAACCGTGTCTCTCCCTCACCTAAACTCCATCCCTTTGGCACCGTTCGCTCACGGCCTGGCCAATAAATTGAATCCAAGTCTCCAACTAAACCATTGCCAATTCTCTTCTTCATTTCATCCTGTTTGATGAAGTCCTCAGAGAAACCAAATACTAGTGACCAGAATGCCACTTCTCTATAGCTTTTACCAATCACATTTATGATCCTAAAGGTTGGTAATTCTGATAATCGGCCTTTATTGAATCTTATTCTTCCAGATAAACCTTCAAAATCACTAGACAAAATGTGATTTACTAACCCTTTTGGTTTTCTCTCTCTTTGAGAAATTTGCATGGCTTTAGCAATGGCCCATGTTGCATCATAAGCTCGAAGTGCAAATATACTTGGGTCTGGATGTTCCTCTTCTTCTGGGTGTTCTGACGTAAAATTCCTGCGAAATCTAATTCTAAACTGTCTATAAGACTCAGTAGTGTCTATGAAGTTGGTCTTCAAACCAATTACACCTTGCATGTTAGAAATGACGGATGGACCAACAGAATCAAGAAGGCTTGCAATGTCATCTGAAACAATCCATACGTACCCTTTCCCCATCATTCCCATTTGCTTTGCCTTCTCGAAAAGAATGGCGGCAAAGTCTAAAGAAGACTGTATGAGTATAAACACCCTATTGCTCTTGCTTCTGAGCTTCTTCAGCTCTTCTTCAATAAAGAGTCTTGGGTTTGTAAGAGAAGATATAGGAGGGATACCTATGTGGCGCTCAACGACTGAGTCGACGGCTCGGAGTGAATCGGAGAGGTGAATGATGAGGCCAGAGTCGGTGGAGAGTCTGGTGCTTTGTTCATATATTGCTGTCACCTTTCGCCACCCGAAGTGACCGACAATGGCGGCGATGCAATGCATGTGTGTGGCGACATCGTTACTCATCTGGATGAAAAATGGTGGTTGTGGTGGCAGAAGTGGTGGAGATATGGCTGTTGGAGCAATGGAGATGATGGGGATGTCCTTGGTGACATTGTTCAATTCACAGACCACAGACGCTTCATGCAAGCTCAATGGTCCAACTATGGCTTCTGCTTCTTTGCGGTCGATGAGGTCAATTGCTGCAACAGTGGAGGCAAATGTAGCCTTTGGATAGTCAAATTAGAGATGAGAAGTCATTAATTTGAGTCCTTAATGTTTCAAGATCCACTATAATATTTTTTTTTCTTCTATTTTTCTATTTAATACATCACCCACTTACATATTATGGATTATGGGTTGAGTAATGCTTATGCTATACTGAAAAAACAAAAGAACATAAATTGTGGCATTACCATAATTAAAAATTTTTATTTTCAAATTTTTAAAAATGGGACCGAAAATACTATTCTGATAAGATGACGATATTTCATCCTTATTTTTGGTCTTTTATTTTTTATCAGTTTAGTATTTTGAGTTTAGCTTGAAAATATTAGTAGTCCAAGACAGACGACCAAATATCAAATCTTAGGGCAATGTTATTGAGATTTTATTTACTGACATAATTTGGTAATCTAATTTATTATTACTTTTGGATTGATTGTGGATCCCACTAAATATTAGAACTTAATGTTAATCTAATTGTTCTAATAAAATCACATCATTAGGTCAACAAATTATGTCAAATTTTTAGATCTAAATCACATTACTCCAAATCTGAATATAGGCTTTGGTTCAAGTAGGTCTCAGAAAAAAAACAAGGACAATCTTAAATACATTTAAAACAGTAATGCTACGGTGACAAAATTTTAAGACTAAATTTGGAGCTCAAATGACATGACAGCTGACTTAAACTTCTTTATTTGGTACTATGTCATTTGAGCCCCCAATAAAGACTCAAAATAATATGATGTCATGTCATTTTGACTCCAAATTTGGTCAGCATAGTATTATTGAATTTAAAAACTTGATATGGAGAATTACTATCATTGAATAGGCAGTGGACCCAATAAATAATAGGACTCACAGTTAAATTAATGACAAATAAGAGAAGAGCAATGCTATTGGCCATTGGGACCTAATTTACTTACATAATTCGTTAACTTAATTCACTGTGACCTTGAAATTGACTGTTGATATTATAAAACATTGGAACTTGGACTTGATAATCACAACCATTGAATAGGTAGTGTATTTCAATAAATACTAAGACCCAGAATAAAATTAATGGTTGTGATTATCAATTACACATATTAAGTCTATTTTTTAAGTCCATGTAGTATTACTCCTTAAACAATTGATTTAAAAATTTAACTTGATGATGTGATTATTATATTTAGAATAACGCTATAAGGACTTAAAAAATAAACTTGATAATCTTAATCATTGAACAGATAGTGAGTTTTAATAAATGTTAGGACCCACAATAAAGTCAATTATTGTAACTATTAAGTTTACTTTTTAAATATATTTTTTAAATCTATGTATTATTACTCACATGTAAATGATGTGAGTAATAGTGTGTAAATAGAGTCACATGTATCTATATATTTATACTCTTCAGTGCAGTGGCGGATTTACAGTGGGGGCAGTTGCCTCCTCTGGAATTTTAAAAATTTTTGGGAATTAAGTATAATTTTTAAATTTTTAAAATTTATTAAAAATTTGCCCCCGTTGAATTTTTTTTTAAGATTTATAAGTATTTATGATATTTTGACAAATATATGGGTCACTTATAAATGTCAAAAAAATTCCTTTACAAGGCTAAATGCCTCCATTTTGTGTTAGATTAAATTATTTTAATTTGGTGTTTTGAATAATTTTATTGTGATTGGTTAATTAATTCTTATACTAAAGTTTAGTTTAATAGAATAGTCATAGTTTATATCTGTTTCGATTGGTTGTTAATATTCAATTATATATGATTGAACCAAAATTTTTTGTTAGGTGATTAGGTCTTATAGAAAAATTTATAGTAAACTGTTTTTTGTTGGCTCTTTTTGTATAGCGCTCATGTATAAAAGTTATTACTTTAATTGACGTTCTATTAATGAAAGGATACTTTTGTGAACAATAGTAATTTGAAAAAAAATTAATCACACCTCCTCGAGTTTACCATATCTTCAAAGACACCCCCCTTATTTTCTAAATCTTCAGTGACACCCCTGTCATATTAAAAATATTAACTAGAATGCAATTTTACTAAATTGCCCATAATATAATTGATGACAAACTTCATCAACACTCCCTCTAGATAAACATATCTTTAATGAGACCCTATCTGTTTTTTAATTTTTTTTACGTATTAAAATTTGAGCCGATTAAAATTCGATTCAAACTAATTAAAATTTATTTATTTACATATTAAAATTTGAGCCAATTAAAAATTATATTTTTTTAAAAAATTTGGGCTAATTAAAATTTTATTTTAGCCAATTAAAAATTATTTTCAATCGACTCAAATCAAATTATTTGAGATTTATGTAGGAACATTTTTAATATTTTAGATAATTTTTTTTTTTATAAATGATAGTTTAGGGGGACTTGACGGGTCGATCAGTTAAAAAGCCCGTTAGTCTGCCCGTTAGCCCAATAGAATATACCCATTGAAAGATAATTTAGATTATATTTTATAATTATATTATTTATTTGATATTTGATTATGTAACTTTTATAAGGTCGAAACTTGTAAATAATTGCAATAAATAATTGACAATTGTATAAGTGTCAATCTAGTTGAAATTTACTAATTTGTAGTGATGCAAAATACTTTCACCCATCAATTAATTTGTAATATAACATTGTAACTTTATATGAATATTTGTTAAATTCAATCAATATGAATAATTTTTTTGTTAATTTATATTTTTATATTCATTTCATGTAATTTATGTCTTTCTGTAATTGTTATATAAAAAATAAATTTTTTGATATTTTTTTGTATTTTTTTACATAAAAAGTAATTTTTTAATAAAAAGCATGTTTAAGTGCCATAAAGCCCAGCCCGTTTTGGGCCCAATAGGCTTGCCCACGGGTGGGTTATTGGCCTTAAGGTGGGCCCCGCCCGGCCTGTTGACTAGTCAAAGCCCAGAGTCCCGACCCACGGGCTGGCTATGAGCTGAAAAATCCAAAGCTGGCCCTGCCCATTGTCGAGGCCTAGTACAATAACATAGGAATCAACTACGTTGTTGAAGAGTCTTTTTTTAAAAGATATTGTTCCGAAGTTACTATAAAATACATGTCAATGTAAGAATCGAACATAATTAATTTGCTAATATGATAACACCTCAAGTGAAATGGCAAATGATATGCTCAACAGTTTTTTTTTTTTTTGAGTAATACTATTTATTTTTAAAATTTTGAAATAATGTATAGACTTAATGATATTTCACTAAAGCCTTTGGAGTAATACTAAATTTCAATTTTGATAAGACCCACATTCAATTATAATAAAATTTGTAATATAAAATAGGGTAGGTTTTAATAAGCCCATTCAACGATCTTAAATAAACTCATCTAACGGTCACCAACATCCCCACTTTATTGATTTTAATTTTTTAATTAAAGCAAATTAAAGTAATTTTTTTCCCAAATTAACCAATTGGTTATGTTGCACCGTACCTTCAGATACAAATTATCTCTAGTAAATCAATAATTTCTTTTTTTTTTGATAATTTCCTCTTTAAAATGGTAGGGACAAAGAAGAGCATTGAAAGACCACATCAATGGGCCCTCACTGATGAGATCATAAGGCCCCTGACTGTGTCTATTACTCCTCTCAAGAATGAACCTAGTTAAGCTAGTATAGAGGTTAACCATCGAGCTCTAATGTAGACTCCAAGACTCGAACCTCCCTAACTGGTGAGATCATGAGGCCTCTGATTACGTCTATTACTCCTCTCAACAACGAACCTAGCTAAATTAGCATAGTAATCAACCACCCGAACTTTAATGTAGACTCCAAAACTCGAACCTCCGACCATAAAATGAGAAGATCGACTGGTACTCCATTGAACCACCCTATTCAGTAAATTAATAAATTAAATCACAATAACTTTATTCTAATAAGAATAAAATTTTCAAGAGTGAGATGGCAACTTTACCAGCAGAAAGCGCTTGTGCTGAGTTCCCATATGAATCCACGAGGTGCAAAACCAGTTTATAAGAACTTGTTGACATCTGATCATCATCATGAAAATCATGAACAGCCATCTCCATGGCTAACTTCTGCTCCTTACCCACACGACTGCTCCGGTCAATAACACCACCTATCCGGTGGCCCTGGCTCGTCGGACCACCGTCATCTCTCTTGTTCGTCATTGCTTCTGAACCCACCAATATTAATAACAACCCTAATAGGAATGAGTGCACACGAGGAGACATTTTGCCTTGCCAGAATCCAGAGGTTCTCTTTCTTTGAATGAAAGGAAGTGGAGGACTTGAAGAAGAAGATGTATAAAACTTCAAGATTCTAAGATGGACTTGAAATTAATCTACATATGCTTAAGAATCAAGGTCAGACTCAGTCCAAATACATATTTTTAGAGCATATACAAGACTTTCAAGTTGCTTGAGAAAGTAGAAGCATGGATGAAATTTCTCAAGGATTTCCTCCCATTAGTATATTCCAATTAATTAATTAGTGATAGAAGCATGGAAAAATACTTTCCTAGGTGAAACTTATATCTATTGTTTTTATATTAAAATTATATAATTAAATCACTTGCAAATTCAATGTACAATAAATAAATAAAACTATATAACAAAACAAAATACGTGACTAACAGCTATAAAATTTAATTCAAACTCCAAATATCAATAAATAAATATATAGGTTCATAGACCATACACTCTTTTGATTCTTTCTATCTTAACAATTCGGATGTCAAATATTGTGGAGCAGTATTGAAATAGTCCAACGCTTTTACTCATTCAACATTTTGGTGTTTAGTCCATCTCATCCTCTCTTGTTTAGTCATAATTCACAGTAAATAGGTTACTTCAGGCCAATAGCATCTTCTCCTTGGCAAAGAGAAATTTTACCATTTCACCATATCTACATTTTTTTTGATACATAATATCTCTGTTATGATATATATTATATGCCAGAATCATATTTGTGCAGTATCGGATCAGAGACTTGTTGTTTGTGGTGTATCAAATATAGTAAAATCACCTATTGAAATTTATGATATTATGTAATTTAAAATAAAATAAACAGTAAGTGTGAACTGTAGAATAGTTACTCAAAACGAAACAGTTACAGTAAAGAGTTACACATAATTTTTTTGCCAAACTAATATAAAACTAACTTGGTTGCAGAATAGAAATTGTTATTGAACTTTGGGTAAATCAAAACTAGTGTTTGACATTATATTCTTAAGACATGTTTCACCCCCACACACAGTGCTTATAGAATATTAAGCGTCTGCCTCCCAAGATACAATAATCTTTATACCAACAGAAGTAACACTCCAATCTGCTAATCCAGCGAACCAATATTGTGTTGTGTACTCTCTCTCTACATGCACTGCTTTAATGCTGAAATGCAGACTGTTTAATGCCTTAATGGACTGATTCATTCAATTAATGAAAATGAGTCTGGGTATTTATAAACACATTGGTGACTTTTCAAGCAGTCATCTTACTAAAAGACACAACCTAGAATGAAATCCAACAGTCAGGAGACACCACTGTTTTAATTGTTCTATAAGAACAGACACACTCCAAATTTTCGGACTGGACTTAAAAAATTTTGAATTTGAGAGAAGCCAAAATCTGAACCAGTGCGATCAATTGGATACTGAAAATAAATGTCGGGTTAAGAAATTCTCGCCCAATTTATTAAATAAATTTTCTCCAAAAAGATAAGGCTTGGTATAACTCACACCCACACTCGAGCCCGGCCCGGTCGGGTCGGGTCGTGGTCATGGCGAGGTGGGTGGGCGGCGCCCGTGTGTGGTTGAACCAAAGGCATGTAGGTGCTCGCTCCGCTCATAAAATTGTGGTATCTCTTGAGACCCAATCCCATAGAACAAACTTGACCTATATATGCTCATATTAAATTTCTTTCTCAACCAATGTGGGATTGGTGTCACATCTCATATTGCACTTCCTTTATTTTCATGTTTCAAGAGAGTCACTTTAGAGCCTATTTTCTTATTTATTTCTTACTCGATTTGAGCAAGTGAATATATTACATTATTTAAAATAGAAGAGTTGGAAGGGAACAACAACCAATTAATAATTCCTTAATGGAAAAAGTAATTTAGAGACATTTAAATAAATTACATAAATCAAATGTCATGGATTTATAGAAAACTGAGGAAGGGGCTGACTAGTAATTGTGATAGAAAACCCCAAATCGACCATAGTTTGTATTTTGAAATCAGAATTTGAAAAAAAAAGAGTATAGAAATCACGATATTAGGATGAGGTCGACAAATAAATCGTGCCAAAAAAACCCTAAATAAACAATTGTGTGTATGTGATGTGTGTGTGAATCTGTTTTCGATGTGTGTGTGTGTGTGTTGTGTGAAGTGTGTGGGTGTGTCCACCAAACCATCCTTCATTATGCACTCCACCTAACTCATGTTCCACCCACTATACTTTCTTTGTTATCCATACTTACCCAACCTCTAAATCAAAAAATTATCGAAAGACCACTAACCACCTTCAATACCACTTCCATTAAGCTATGGCATATCCCCATTTTGTGTGTGCGTCTGTGTGTTATGTATGATGTTTACCTGTGTTGGGTGTGTGTGTGTGTTGTGTTGTATTGTGTTGTGCGCGTGAGTACAAAGAGATGAAGGGAAAAAGTTAAAGATGGGATGGAAGGAGAGTTACCTGTGGTGGTGGCAACAAATGTAGTTTGTTCGTGACTCTTTGAGAAATTTGATCAAACATGTAGTGGTTGTGGTTGGTGATTTCAATTACAATTACTCCCAATTACAAATGTGTTTGTAAAGGAAAAGGGGTGTGATGTTTGTGCAACATGAAAAATGTGAGTGAGTGATATGAATGTGTTGTTGTGTGTGCTCTGTGGATGGGTGGGTAGGAAAATAGAGTGTTTGGGGAGAGAGGGTGCGTTGGGTGTATGTGTATGCGTGCTGGGTGTATGACTAGTGCATGATGTATGGTGTATTTTGTGGAGGAACAACTAAAAAGAGAAAAAGAATAGGGGGAGAGAAGTAGACTAACCTTGGAGGGTGAGAAGGTCGCTGGAGTTGCTTGATCGCCACAGAGAGATGAGAGAAACATGTGAAAGAGAAAAAACAGAGAAAGAGATAGAAGAGAAAGAACATGTTTGTTATGTTGTGAGGGAGAGAGAGGGAGGGAGGGGGGTTAGCGTACAGAGATGGGTTTAACAAAGTGGAGGGTGTGTGTGTCAGGAATGTTGCCTTGGAATAAATATTGAATACAACGGAAATATTATGTCACCACATGATATCACCAATTAATAATAAAATTTCAAATAAGAAAGATGAATCCCACTTAAACTTACATGGTAGAAAGGTAGGGAATTATTTGTTTATATGACATGTTAGTTATAGATGTTTGTGGGGTTCATTTACTTATTTGTTTTAGTATTATTGGTTGGTAATAATACCACATCTCCTTGTCACATAGTATCACCGTTGCAATGAATATTTTCTCGCTGCATTGGGGGTTGTGTGAGTCAAGGACCATTAAGTGTGATGATCGAGAAAATATATTGGAGATAAAATTCAAATCCCTTCTTGTTTTATTATATAGGGTTTAAATTTTATAACCAAAATTCATGTTATTTATTGATATAAAATTTAAAATAAAAATATAATTTTAATTTAATAGATATATTTAGACCCTTCAAATTTAAAATGTTGTAATTAGATAAAAAAAATTACTCCAATTAAAAATAAAATATCATTTATTTTAATTTTTATAACCAAAATTTATGTTATATTATGTCATTTATTAATATAAAATTAAAAATAAAAATTCAATTCTTTCTTAAAAAATAATAATTAGTATACAATTATACCATCTATTAGAATAAAACTAAAAAAAAATAAACAAGTGGTCAAATTATAATTGACACAATATCTTCTATCTTAAATTAAGGTAATTTCGTCGCTTAATAGATAGTATAATTATATACTAATTATGATTTTTTAAAGAAAAAATAGATTTTTATTTTTACTTTTATTTCAATAAATGACATAATGGTTATAAAATTTAAAATATTTGATATTCTTTTTTTGATTAAATTATTTTTAGTTAAAGTATAACATTTTGAACTTGAGGGATCTAAGTATTACATGTTATAAACTTTAGGGAGTCTAAGTATAATGTATTAACAAATATTTTATTGACGATAGGAGTCTAAATGTTATGCGTATATAAATTTTAGGGATGTGTGTGTAAAAATTCTCCCAGAAATAAAAACTTCAACTATTCATCTGCTGAGTACACTCTGTGTTGTACTTGATCTCATTCGTTTGCTGAGTACCGCATTCACCAAAAGTCTCTCTCCACCAAGCAACTTCATTTTGCTCTTAGTGTCACCTCTCTTTAAGTCGCAGAACTGTACATTCATTAATTAATTCAATGTCAGAAATCTGCAAAACTCTACACTCCCACTATAATCTTGTGGTACTAAGCATCTAATTAGAGCCAAATAAACTATTACCCCACAGATTCTATACTCTCACTGTGATGTGCAAAACTCTATACTCTCACTACACATACAATTGCATATAATCAAATCTACAGATCAAACAAATCCATAACCAAATTCAATTGGGAGGTAGTAGGTAGAGCCAACAAACTAATTTTTTCCAAAGCAGTACTGGATCTAATATTACAGTGAGAAAATTAAATTCTTAATTTATAAAAGTAAAATAATTGTCAAAATTGATTCAATTTTTATCTGTTGTGATCCAATGGTACTATAATATCCAATAAATTTAGAACACGTGTCCACACTACAGAAGGACAGATGACATGAGTCATCAATTGACATAGCAGTGGAACCCAACAGGGTCCAACAGGATTGATACGGACAATAGTGCCACAACAGCACCTAGTGTCGCGATAGTACCCAGGTGCAACACCCTCATGTGCCCGGCACCGCAGCAAGCACCCAGTGCCGCAGAATGACCTGACACATTCTCATCACATTGAAAGTATCAAAACAGACCATTGATCAAGAACGTGTTGGAAAAAAATAGTTTTAAACAAGGAAAATGCTACTGATCCAAATAAAACTCAAAAATTGCAACTCAAATGTATTTCATCATTTGGATAAGTGGGTCTCACTGAAAAGGTTGATGGAT